AAATTGGTCGCTAGCGATTAAAGGCCACTCAGTGCCATTATATATATTTTTTTTTCTCCCTCTTTTCTTTAATAGCAGCAGCAGCAGAAGCGATCAATCTTTCAATTGCTTCTCTGTGAATAGAAAAAAGAAGTGTGGCAGGGAAAGCACAGGCAACAGAGTGGAGGTTTTCTGAATCTCGGTGGGTTATTTTGTCCCCAAGGAAAGTAAATTGGTTGCCTCTTGTAGCAACATGAGAAAATGGTTAGGTTGGGCCTGAAGGGTTGATCGATCCAGGCATTATTGTCTCAACAGTGTATAAAATGCCTTACAAAACCTGAATCCATACAAAACCTAGTCGACGAGGGAGAGGGCCTTCTCAGTGGCTGCTCCCAGACTTTGGAACTCGCTTCTTAGAGAAGTCTGGATAACTCCCTATTTGCTCTCCTTCTATCACCAAGTCAAAACCCTTTTTGTTTTGACAGGCAATAGGGATTGACTGCAATCGCTTTCCCGTCGTGTGTTGTTTTGTTGTTTCTAAAATATCCTGGCTTTTAGTGGATTTTAAAAGTTGTTTTCTTTATGTACAGACAGCCTTCTGTATCCACAGTTTCTTTATCCACAGATTCAACCACCCATGGCTTGAAAATATTCAGACAAATGTAAATCCCAAAAAGCAAAACTTGATTTTCCATTTTATATAAGGGACACTGTTTTACTATGCAATTACATTGAATAGGGATTTGATCATACTATAACATCGCTTGGCCATATGTGTCCTGGTTTTCATCCCTTAAAGGTTGGAGAGTCCACAGATGTTTGTATCCACAGTGGGTCCTGGAACCAAACCTCGGTGGATACCAAATGCCCACTGCAGATGGTTCAATTGCATTTTAATATAACTTTTAACAGTATACCCTTGGTTTGATTCCAGGACCCACTGTGGATACCAACATCTGTGGACCCTTCAACCATTAAGGGATGAAAACCAGGACACATATGGCCAAGAAATGTCATAGTATGGTCAAGATGGTGAAAGTTTTTTAATGGGGAAGAAAAGGAAGCTAAGAGAAGCTGCAGCAGTTTGCTTTTTCCTGAGTCTACTGGGAAGGGCAAAATTTTGCTGGGTTCATAGTAAAACTAAACTACCTTTAGCACTTCGAACTCAGCTTGCAGCAATGGAAATAAGCTGAGTATGAAGAGGTAAGGTGGGAGGAGAAGAGTGAAACCAGGATGTTTTTCCAGCAAGGGAGAATGGGAATTGTAGTTCCAACACTTTCCTTGGGAACAAAGGATAGGAAAGGTCCTCGGAGAATGTCAAACGTTTGCCGTAAAGAACGGTCACAATCATGGTGTCCACAGATCGGACACACTTTGCACCCAAAGATGTCTGAAAATGGGGCACAAAAGGATCTTGAGATGGCATTGCAAAACATTTTGTAGGATGGGAAATTTAGTGAATTAATTGAAAATACGTAAATAAATGAATTAATTGATTTACAAAAATTATCCAATTTGCCAACAAAAACTAATATAAAAACACAATTTAGCACAAAAGTACTGTCCATTTGTGATTTAAAATCTTAATTCATGCTAGCGACTATCACATATAACTATGTTAATTTTTCTCAAGAGAGCTGTAAGCTAATTCATGGTCATCATATTATTCAACAATAACCTGTTAACATTTCCATCCATAATTTTGGGGACTTTTTAAGGATGTTATGGACTGGTCACTACACAATCCATACAATACACAAGGTAGAAGGTATTCAGCAGAATGAAATGTATCACCGCTTCCTTTGCTATTTTTAAGGGATAGGAAATGTTCCAAAACCTAACGGAACCCATTTTTCTTCCCAAACTGGAAAGGTTGGTGGTTCTAGTTAGTCCACCCTTCCACCCAGTTCTTTATTCCTTCTTTGCAGATAAATCGAGCGCATCAAAGAGAACAACACCTCAATGTTCAGCTCCCGTAACACCTGTGACTTCACTCTCCTGCTGGGAACAGAAATACTATTTTCCAGTATGCATGCCTTTCCCTCTGTAACAAACCCAATGGGAAATCTTTCGGATCTGACCCTTTTCTGCTTTCTCTAACCCAGGGGTAGGCAACCTTTTTGAGCCGGGGGCCGGGCTGCTGTCCCT